CCCCCCCCCCTTCCTTCTCGTGGCCCTCAGGACGACGCCACCCGCGCAGCGGCCTTGGCGGCTGCACGGCGGCGGCCCAAGGCTCTCGGGGTGCGAAGACCGGGAGGGGGACGAGAGAGGGCGCCAGGCTCGCGCCAGCCCCCGCCTCGACTCCGGGACGGGGTGGCTCCAGGCTTGAGTCGGGCCTGTCCCTCTTCCGGAGGAATATTCAAATAGTGTCTAAAACTAGTCTGGTGACGATTTACTGTATAATTCGTTGACAATATTAGGGTATCGTTTTCGTATTTAAAATTTTCCGTCCAAAATCCGCCTGTAGGAGGATATGCCCGGCCGAGAGCGTCGAGGTCCGAGGCCTTCGGACGGGTTCGCGTCTTCTCGGCGGGCTTCCACCCTCGGGATGCTTTCCAGCAGCTGCGCCTCAGCGAGAGCGTTCCAGGGTCGCCCAGAGCACTCCGAGCGGCCGTTGGAGACCCGGATTACGAACCGGATATTGGACGACGGGAGCAGATGGGATCGGTGGAGCACGCCGCATCGCCGACGCGTCGGCGATGTGGCTCGACGTGGAGCCCGATTTTCTCCGCGCCGACGTCGCCGATACGTCGCCGATGTCGCTGATGCATCGGCGATACGGCGCGACCCTCCCACCCCATCTACTTGGGCCCCATTCGGGCGGCCTCCAGTGACCCCGGGATCAGCGCTAACCCAGCGCATAGCCCAGCGCCATGTCGCGAACCCACAAAGCAGCTCCCACGCCCGGGTCAGCGGTCAGCTTAGGTCGACTAGACGTAATAATGACCTTTCGCAGGATTGGCCTTTGGGTGCTGGCCCGATGGGGCCCCCGGATGGCTGGGCGCGAAGCGGTGGCAGCGTCCTGCATGCTCCGGCCTTGCCCACCCCGCGTCCCCCGTTGGCCCGCGCACCAAAGGTCATTGTTGCCCAGACTCTTCCGTGTTGCTGGGGAGGGGGTGGAGGGGCGGGTCGACTTGGGTGGATCTTCCCTCCGTTCCCTCGCATCCCCTCTGGAGCCTTCCAGAGAGCTCGGGAGGCCTCCTGCCTCCTCATCCTCATTCCCCTTCTCCGCGTCCTCCTCATTCCGCCGATCTTCCTCCTCCCTGGCCCAGCTCCTTTCCTCGCCCTCTTGTCGTCGACGTCGTCGGCCCCCCCTCCTCCCCCAAAGGTTTCTAGAGGTCTCTGGGGCCTCCAGACGACTGCTGAAGTCTTTGGGGGTGGACTTGAGCAGACACATCCAAAATTCTCGATCGTCTGTCGCATTTACAGATGCCTCAGCTTTAACAAGAGGGCGTCCAGGCAGTCCAAGAGGAACCCCAAGACGGCCCAACAGGGCTCCAAGATGACCCGAAGAGAGCCCCATGACGGCCCAAGATGGCCCCAAGACGCTCCCCGAATCATTCCAAGTCGTGACCCAGTCGTTCAGGAAGACCGCAGTTGGAAGCAGGGTGGCCCAGGGACGCGCCCAGAAGGAACCCAGGAGGCCCCAACAAGCCCTTAAAAATTTTCGCGGGGCCCCCAAGAGGCTCTCCTAGGATGAGCCTCCGCAAAAAGAGCAGAGGAAAGGAACGAATTCACAAGGTAGGGCGAAAATGAGGAAGAGGAAGAGGAAACATGTGGAAAGGATAGCGAACGACAATACCAGAAAAGGCAATAACGAGTTATCATGAATTGGTATGTTTGACCTTGTTGCCCACTTGTTTGCATGCCAAAAATCAAGCTCCGAAGAGCATGGCGCGCAGCGCCAATGCAGTCTTGTGTGTATATAGATATGTGTATGTACATATATACATACATATATATATACATGTGTAGATGTATGTTTGTATATGTGTATGCATGCATATATGTATGCTTGTATGTGCGTCTGCAAGTATGTATGTAGTATGTATGTATGTATGCATGTGTGTGTGTTCGTATGTGTGTGTTTGTCTGTATGTATGTATGTGCCTACGTATGTATGTATGTATGTTATATGCGTGTATGTGTGTATGTGTACAGTTTAACCAGCGTGGGCGCCAAACAGTTGCTCACTGGCAATAAATGTGGTGCAATCTACGCTGGGCATTAGATGTGGAGACATCTGTGTGGTGCAGTACATGTTGTGCAGAATATGGTGTGCGACCTGTCCGGTGCTATATATGTTGTGCAAGCTATGTGGTGCAATATGTGTTGTGCAACCAATGTAGAGCATTCGTGTGTGGTGCGCAAAAGTTGTTGCTCGCTACATGTGGTGCAAACTGTATGTGGAGTCAAGCCTGTTTGTAGCAACCCATGCGGTGCACTATATGGGGTGTAACGTGGTGCAAAATATGTTGTGCAACCCGGGTAGTGCAGTCTACATGGTGCAATATACGGACTGCAATCTACGGAGAACAGCCCGTGTTGTGAAATTTATGTGGTACAACCAATGTTGTGCGATCTACGTTGTGCCATCCATGTGGGGCAATATGTGGTGTGCGACCTACGTTGTGCAGTATATCGTATGCAA